TACCCAGTGACAGGGTCCCCGCCCCTTATAGCCATTGTTCAGAACAACTGAATAACTAATAACAATAAGAAGCATGTAAATATAACCGAGCTGGGGTTTTTTTTTGCCTCCGACAAAGCTGGGCGATCAGATCGGTTGCATAATAGAAATAGGGAAGGCTGTCTGGCAGGCAGCCTTAAGCAGAGAAGAGCTATCTCAATTTCTCTCACTTAATCTTGGCTTCGCGTCAGAAGCTGTGCAGCAGTGCAGTAGAATGGGAGCTCGGCAAAAGCTTCGCCAGTGAAACGCGGGCGCTCGCTATGTGGCGGTACCTCAGCGATCTCTCGAGCTGGATTACCTATTGATTTTCCTCCTTTCTCGCCTCCCAGGTTTACTCGGCTGGACACCGTGTGTGTTTGGATTTCTCAAGGATTCTCCCCCGACTAACATGGATGTCCCACCATTCCTTGCAGTTGAAGGTTGCTCCTTGGCGCAGTGAATGAAGAACATGCAGGGATTGCTAATGGGTTTGGGAAGCGTAGACTCTCTGCTCTCTCTGTGACCATGCCGTGATCGTGTCTGAGGGCTATCAGTTTACGTATCCTCATTCTCACCCTACCGGGAAACCTGACGGCTTAGAAGGGGGAAGTAAGGCAGCGCGTGTGTGCATAGAAACATCATGAAGATTATTTCCCATATTGTAACTAATTCAGTCTTCAGATGCACCATTAGACTCCTTCTTTGCTTACTGTGGATTGGATATTCTCAAGGAACCACACATGTATTAAGATTTGGTAAGATTTCCCGACACTTTGTTCATTGTGTGTTTAAGCCTGAATGTGATATGCGTAGGATTCACTCAGAAGGGGATGCTGGGGGAGAGCTGGGACGTGCTACCGGAGTCAGGCAGCGAAGTCCCTCTTTATTTTGCATCCGGAGGGATGAATTGCTGTGTGATTTTTTTTTTTTTTTTTGATTGAAAATATCTATTTTTTTTCCCCCCAAACCTGAACTTTACTCTGATAACCTGCATGACTGTTGTCAGCCTTCTCTTTCACAACTCTAAAGCTAAGTGATCTCGACCCAAGCAGTCAGCTATTGAAATACAGGAATTGATTTTCACACAACCGATTTTCTTCTCCCTTCTAGCAGCACTCCCCCTGTTTTTTTTTTTTTTTTTTTCTGTCTCTGCTGCTCATTGTAGCCGTAGTAACGGCACGATGGTGATGATAATTATAATAACAATAGAAAAAAGACTGGCAAACGTGGTTGCCTAAGGCTCTGCGCAGCTTGTGTGGTTTCCTCGTAATTGTTTCCATTGTTTTGCTTTATTGTTTCCATAGTAGGGGAAGGCATGGCTAATGCGGTGATTGATCAGTTGAAAACCTGTCAAGTAGCTGTTAAGTTTCGGCCGCCCGTCTCTGATCCCCCCGAGCCGATCCCGTGCGGGCGTAACGCTGTGATTTGAGACCTTTGGGCTGATTTCCCTTGAAGAATCTGTCTGTTTGCTTGACACTTGAGTGGCGTTTAGGGTTAGAGAAGAGATGATTTATGTCTCGAGCTGTGCTCGGGGAAGAGCTTTTGCGGCGCCTTTCAAAAGCACAGCTTTTCTATGCGAGGAAAGTTGTAGGAGTTCCTCCCTCTCCCGGGAAAAAAAGAAAAGAAAAAAAAAAAAAGCAGATCAGAATGACATTTCAAGAATAGAGAGGGTTTACAGTTTAAAGGCTATCCAGCTGGACTAGGGCACTAACCTTAAGAGCTCTGCCTGTGCAAGCGCGCATGTTCGTGTGTCTAAGCAAAGCAAGCGAGGGACAAATTCCAGCCGCTGCATCCCCTACAGAAGTTTTGCAGTGAGGGAGGGAAGGACGGAAAGTTCGGAAAGCAGGTCCGAAGGGGTCTGTGCGGCCGGGGATGTCCTTCGGTGCTAGTCCGGGGCGAGATACGATGAGAGCCCCGTATCAGCATCCTCCTGGTCGCCCGCGTACCGCGGGCGAGCCGCGGCGGGGGGCGCCCAGGAAGGGACAGCCTGAAAATTGCTCCCCCATACAAGCAGTATGCCTCTGTGCCTGCCGACAGCACGGGTGGACGGAGGAAGAGCGGATCTCCCTCATTCCCGCTGTCCACGATAAACTGTGGCAGCCTCTGCATCCATTTCTTAGGGGCACAGAAATCTCTTGCCTTTTCCTGGGAATAATGCCTTGGTTTGTATCTATTTTAATTTAATTCAGCACCCCCGCACACAGTTTTATATGGAGGGGAAGGTGAGTAATGATTAAAAAGTCACCAGGCTGTTACCAATCTCTGAATTCCTAGCAGCACTTTTTTTCTGCTTCCATCTGGTCTAAAGGTGGTGCTTATGGCACGTTGCTCTTAGCAACCGTCCTCAGGAATGCCTGTTTCTTTGGACATGGCTAAACGGGCCCGTATATCATTGTAGGGTCTATTTTGCAATCAGTCTGATCCATAATCATCGCCGTGAATTTAATGCTAGGATGCCTGTAATGTGGCACTGGTCGGCTGTCTGTCTTTCCACGGGCTCCGAGAGTCTGTCTCTAGGAGCCTGAGTTACTTTCAGGTATAGCTGTGTAAACAAACATCTTCCTGGTCACAGCACTAGCAAGAGGTGGACTTTCCTTCTTTAGAGTGGCATTCCCTCGGAACTGTTAATCCGGTGTACCTTTAGAGACAGCCCTAGAGAGCAGCGCTTTGGCAAGCTTAGAGCAATAAATAATCCCGCGGCTGAAAGGTGATGCAGCGCATCTCTGCTACCCAGTGACAGGGTGGTGCATGCGTATGTTTTACTGGGCTAACTTCCCTTCCCAGCTGCCTTCTGGTCACACAGCTGGCCAACGAGTTGTATTCACTCTGCTGTTTGTAGCAGCGAAGTAGAAATCCCTTTCTGCATCTCTGCCTGCTTTTCTCTGTATTTGAAAAGAATTGTCGCCAAACCATCACTGAACATTAAAAGTAGGTGGGGAGCAATTGGTAAGTTTATTTTGTTGTGGAGAATGTTAGACGTGAAAAGAGCAGGAAGACTTTTGCCATTCTTATACGGGCCTGTTGCACATCTGTGTTTTAAAGGAGTCTGGATTTAGCTTAATCCTGGCTAACTCACTCTGTCTGTGACCACGAGAGAACTTCCACGCCTTCTCCAAAGGCTGACATCTCTTTCTCTGCGCAGGGCATAGCAGGGTAGAGGGAGGGAGCAGGGATTGAGCTGCGGAAAAGCTTTGGTTATTTCTGAGGAGGAATTCCCCACCGCCCCCTCTGTGTTCCCGTGCTATCAGTCCCTTTGGGACGTCCTTGCGACCAGGAGGACGGGATGCCGTGGAGTCCTTCCCGAGGAGAAGGGAGAGCTGAGGAGATTCCCTCCAGAAGGCAGCCTGCCAGCCCCCGCTCTTCTTCCTCAGCCAGCAGTGCTATGGCAACAGGGGAGAGCTTGAAGCCTGCCAGAGCTGCAGCCCCCTCATTCCTCCTGTGCAAATTAGCCACCATGGATTCACATTGTCCTTCCCACGGCTCCTCTCATTGTTGGGACTAGCCAGCATGTCCTTTCTCTCCCTCCCTCTCTCTCTGAAGCTACATTTTAGCAACCACACAGGGAAGTCGAACCGCCTGGGTTATTTGTCAAATTCTGGAGGTTATTTCAGTCTGCACCTTATGGAGCAAACCCAGAGAGAGGCTGGTGCCATGGCACCGTTCCCTCTCCAGCGACACTTGCTTAGGCATCTGGACACCTGCCTGTTGCTGCTGCTGGAGTTGGGCGACGTGGTATTGGGGCATCACACCAGGCACCCTTCCTGCATGCCACATTGCTTCATGGGGCATGCGACCAAGCTCCTTCCCTTGTCCTTTCTGAACAGTTTGCCACAAGCGAGCCCAGGGAACGCTGAACGTGAGGTTTGTCTATACGGTACTCGAGGGTGTCAAATGGGACCAGCCCTAAACCACTGATGCGGATAAAAGGATAAATCCCACCTTGACGAGGGAGAAAAGCTGCAGCCTCGTATTTGTCTCTCCGCTGTGCTAAGTGTGATGGAAACCTTTTCCTTATCACTTGGCACCGAACAAAAGCCAAAATACGTGACCGCCGGCACATCCTTTACGTTATCAGGGATCACATTTCGCAGCTTTCCGATTCACTGCCCCTGTGTATACTCAGACCCATGACAGCGGCTCCCAAGAAATTCCAGGGACCTCGGCGGATCCAGAGCCCAGCCGATCGGCCCCTCTGCCCACGACGTGGGGCAAGGCACGTCGGGCTGCTTTTCTTAGGTTTGCCTTTACCTCCTGAAGGCATCTCAATACCTTGTCCCCGAAATGCTGAATTAACAAGCCATTAAGAGCTGTCAAACACCTGTAATTGCTCACCTGTGTTTTCAGCAACCCACACATTGTCTTGCCCAAGGCAGTAAGAACCTGGGCTATTTAACCCCCCCCCCCCCCCCCCCCCCCCCCCCCTTCCCTTTTTTTTTTTTTTCTTTCCCCCACCTACTACCACTATATGGAGCTTGATTGTCAGTGCTTTGAAGTCTGGAGCGCCCTAAAATGCCCTTTTTATTTAAACTTCCCGTTTCCGGCCTTGTCTCTATTGCTGTGAGCAGTTCTTTCCTACAGCAAAGGTGTGAAGAGAGACCTGTGACGGGAAGGTGAAAGAGGTTTGGCCACTGTATTTGCTCTCATTATTCCTGGAAATGTGATGAAAGACTAAAGATCTTCACTGCAGGGTGCTCGCTTACCTGATAAGTTTTAACCCACTTTATGTGATGTTTTATTTTCTTCAGGACATTCGAGAAGGGTAAAGACAAGTAGAGGCATATACCTGTAGTTTTGACTTTTTGGTGCTTTGGAGTTGCCTGACTTGAAGCAGATGAGAGAGGGAGCGGAATGTTTTGTGTTACAATGAGCTATAAAGGAAGGGTGTGTGCGCGCTTGTGGCTTCTTCCAGCTTAAAAGCAAAAGAAAGTCAAGAGAGAGATAGGAAAAACTTTTCAAAGGAAAAAGGAAGAGTTTTGAACTCTCACTAGAAGCATTTCTTACAACTGACTATTTTAAAAATATTTTTGTTTCTAAAAAAATACTACACCAAGTCCGCATGAAGGCTAGCACTTTCCTGTTGCCCTACATAAAATAATAATCATAGCAAATCAAACATTATAAAATCTTCGTGATTTAGGAAAAATCACCCTCATTTTTCAACTCCTTTGTGGGAACAACCAGAGGGAAATTGCTAGACGTTTGTCTTCCTCTGTGAAGATTTAGTATGGATTTCATCTGACATGACACTTCTTAGCTGAGCTCCTTTGTCTGAAACAGATTGAGTTTATCTTCATATAATTGTTTTTAATGAGCTCAAGTGTGGCAAAACCAGAGAAGAGGTTGGCTCATTGCATCCACTGCCTGTGGAAGTGACAGTGGGTGTCAAAACACATGGTTCTAGGATTCAGGAGACCATTTTAAAATTGTAGTGATTAAAACCAGTGAAGTCATGGCACAGCAGTGGGAACTAGCTCTGTGCAGATGTGTGAGACAAGAGGTCAAGTGAAAAATACCTGCTGGGTAATCGAGTGGAGTTTTCTTAAGGGACTTACATTAACCCTCCTGGATGTGTACTTTCTTTCCTTTAGATTTTGCATTGACATCCTTTTAGTGGTTTAGAGGTTTCTGCCTCTATTTGAGAGAAACAAAAAAAAAAAAAAAAAAAAAAGTACATATCTTCTTTGAGTGGGGAAGGCAGTCTGCCTTCAGATCAAGAGTGTGATGAAAATCTGCAAGCCAAACTCGTGGCAGCCCT